GCCCTCAAGTGGGTAGGTGCTGGGAAAAAAGCCGAATCTAACTCCCGCAAAATCAGAACATTTTAATCTTTCAGCAGCCTGAACAGTTGAGAGTTATCATACAAACTCCACTGCCATTAAATGCTGCTTTTATTAACATCGCATGGTCCAAGAGTAATTTGTAAACATATATGAATACATTTGAACAAACACATGCTTTAAACTGACTGTTTCTTTTCCTCCCTCTTGACCTGGTCTCTGATTAGATAAATAAATACACATGTTCAGCTTATACATGCAAAGACTCTCACTGACTTCAAAGAAACATTTCCCTTGCATGAATAATTTTGCAGTGCCGGAGCTATAGAAACAATGGAGAAATAACAGCCTTAGGAAATTTGGACTGGGAAAGTAACATAGTTAGTGAAAAGCACATGTCAGTTGAAACTGGTATTTCAAAGTTGAGTCAGTCTTCCAACTTGTATTCATAGCGAGACAGATCTTAATTTAAAAAAAAAACCCCCCCCCCCCCCTTTTTTTTTTCCAAAAAAGAAAAAACAATCACCACTCCTGTAAGTCTACCTTGCATTAAACTTACATTTAAGAACAACTGTAGTCAATAGTTTCCCATTAGCACATTTTTCTCCTCATTTTCATTAAATAGCATTAAGCACCTGTTATGTAGATGCTAAGCCATCTTCTGTCAGAATTTGAATCTGGGCAACATTCACTAGGAACAAAGCAGCACATCCTAAGCTGGGCTAGTATCGGGCCTCCAAATAGCAGTTCCAAATAAAACTATCATTAGGAGCTTTCTTTGAAAGACAGCAAGAACCTGTGACTGTGCTCCCCTATCAACCGGGATGCAGTGCAGAACTCTGGTTGCCTATCAACTCTCTAAATTAATTTTTTGACTCCCTCTCAATCACAGCCTCAGAGTAAGGCTTTTATTATTATTATTACTACTACTACTACTGCTGGTTTGCTATTTTCATTTCCAAAGCTCCAAAACCCTAATGTTGTTGTTTTCTTTGTCCCTTCCTTGCCCTCTCTTGTAAGACAGAAAGAGAAGTTAAGTTCAGAAATAGGATCTGCAGAGAAATCTATTGCAATAAATGGAGTTGGGTACGAGTCAAGCTTCCTATTAAGGAACCAAGATTTAGATGCCAAAGCTCTCCTGCCTAAATTTAGCTATTTCAGACTGACCTTAAACCACTCTTTAGCTCCCATCATCTGTACTGACTAGGTTCCATCACACATTAAGGGAAACTTAGGCAGCAACTCACCCATGGGCTGCTATATGTAGTCACCTACATTCAGGAGCCTGAATCCGGACCTGCCCAATTAGGCTGTATCTAATAGCTCTATGCGGGTAGAGCAGAGTTCTATAGATGGGAGATTCAACCTTTGACACACCACCACAGTTAGACTAACAACAGTGAAAAGAGGAACGTGTTCTTTTACGTCATAGCTGGTATGAAAGCTCAGGGGAATACAAAAAAAAGAAACTGTACGTGAAAGTACAAAAGCAAGTGTGAAAAAGCTTGTGAATTAAATATATTTAGTCAAGCTTGAAATGCAATCAAACTGCAAAGAAGCAAGTCCAGTAAGGAATTAAAAGAATTATTACAGTACAAACCTTTGATATGTATTAGATGCCTCTGAGCAAATCATACTCTCCTTTCTTCTTCCACATTCACATTGAAGATCAACCTGTTGTATCACACAAGAGCAGCTTTTTTTAAACTTGTATCTTTTTACCACCATGGAGGGGTATGAGAGAGATACATTTATCCCTTTATAAAGTCCCATTTTCATGGAATAATGGCTAATCAAAAGCGATGAATAGTTTTTTTTAAAAAACTTCAGTATTATTATAAGTTTAGGGAAAAAATGTCACACTATCAATATACAAACATGTCATTTTTTGTCACAGCTGCTATTGGCTGATAATTAAACCATACAATTCGCCTGTGAATTTGCACTGACTTTCCTTCAGGTATCTAACCTTTGCACAGCAGGATGTTGTCGGGCAGGGTGAAGAAGGATGACATGGAGCCATACAGGGATGATTACAATATAGCCTTGGAATAACACATGGCTGCTTACACTCTTCATCTATAAGACATTCTCCTTTATGACAGATTCTTTTACATTTGTGCATTCCACATTTTAACATTTGATTGCAGCGAAGTCCACAGGAAATGTCAGTGAGATGACAAGGAATATTACTTCGCAGCTGGAAGAGGGGAGGAAAAAGATGACAACTAAAAATGAAAAATTATAGATGCAAATCTCTAAGTCCTTGTACTGTTCACACCTTCATTTGGCACTGTCCACCCAAGAATCGTAGTACTAAAATGCCTTAGGACAAAGGCTGAGTTCTTCCTTATACCATAGTCCAATATAGCAATTGGTCCAAATGCATATGGCATAGAAGATATACTTTTCTAATTTAAACACATTAAACTCAAACTCCTGTAACATATTCCATTCCAAAGAGGCCACAAAAATCTAAGCCGACAGTTGTAGAACATTCTTTATTGTTCAAAAACATTACATGTCCAGACTTACTTCATGCTTGCCCATACACCATTTCTGAGTGAGATAGGTACAGGGTGGACATTTCTCCTCACTATGACATGAATGGTACACTGCAGTCACAGAAATACAAAAGCCAGCACAGTTCTGTTAGCGTACTGCAGTCAAATGCATTAAAGGAGACAGTAAAGACTATTGAACATGAGTTTCCATTTCAGAACTACACAATTGATGGGAAGTACGATGCTTCATGCAAGGATAAGGTGTTCTTTGAAGTACTCTCTAAAAATTATGATGGCAGGTTTTTACGTGAACATTCTGCCATATTGTCTAAATTAATCAGCAGAGAATTTTGTAACTACTGAGCAGCATTATACTATCAGGCAGAGTTCATCAGAAAGTTTATCTGTTTGACCTCTGCTGTATTTTTGCAATCAGCCAATGGAATTCCAAGGAACACAGAAACTAGATTACACTACTGTTTCAACAGAGCACTTAATCTTTTTTGGAAGAAAAATCCAGTGCTTTTACCAGTCAGAAGTACCACATGGCAAGTCTTTAGTTGGTTGGTTTTAAGTGTAGACTTTTGGAAATATTCACAACTACTGAAAAAAGCATCTAATAAAAAAAGCAAATATATATTTTCAAACAGACTTATGTACATTTTTCTACATTTTTATTAAAACAAAACAAAAAACCCAAGCAAAACCAAATGGCCTGACCTACCTGGATGATCACAGTCATGTGGCCTGGTGCAGGGTTTTTTGCACTCTGGTGGCTGAGTGCCACAGGGGACAGGGGGGTAAATCACAGATTCACCACAATAACAGGTTAACTCGTCAAAACCTGAAATAAACAAGTCAAATATTTGCATTTCTCCACTATGAAAAATCTTTAAATAACATGCAAATGTTTTATTCCAGCTCTGGGTTTGGGGTTTTTTTTGTATATGAAGAGCCACTGCAGTGAATTTATTAGTTTTTGTGGCTCCTACAAGAAAACTGGACTGTGACCACTTCATTAGGAATTATGCTTTCTTTTAGAGAGTGGTTCTTTGACAGCAACATTTTGAACTGGAGCAAGAAAAATGTTCATGTCAGGCTGAAAGCTGTTTGCTGCTCTATCCTTGACTTAAAAATGGGGAGATTTCCCCTGAATTCCCTTCCAGAAAGCACATCATCCAAATCTCGTTCTCAGAACTTCCCCCACCATCACTTTTTTAGACCAGTGGTTGGATTTTGTCATTTTGCCAAGCCCTGCACATAGTACTGGAAAGACTCCAGAGAAAAGTACCAAAATATCACCAGCCTGTAGACTTCTTCCTATAATTTCTTCTTTATACTTGTAACATTTACTATTATATGGATCCTCATAAGCAGCTTACGAACATGTCCAAATACTTCAAAGCCAACTTTGCGTGTTTTCAAAGTTCTCCGAGTTCTCCATCTCAGGCAGTATATATTTCTTTTTTTTTTTCCCCCTCCCTTCCCCCTTTCACATTTGGAAAATAGATTTTTAACGCTTATCACAAGATTTGACTTAACACTGCACAAAAATTAGTACAGTTCACTGCTCGTTTTCAGACTATAAAGAAACTGGGAGGGAGAATGATTGGAATGCAAACTACAGTTCAAACAGATAAATCCTTAGAGAAACAGGACGCTAAGAGAAAATATTCACATCACAAGTCATATAGAAGGAGATCCAAGAATAAAAAGAGAATATGATTGGTCTATAAATGAATCAAGAGATAGCGGATCAGGCAGAACAAGAGAAAATTATGGAGGAAGTAAGAGAGTAATGGGGCAATAAAAATACAGAACAACAATTCCAAGCTAAAGAGAAGATGAGCGTGTTAAGTGAGCTGCTGAATTCAGCAAGTTCTCTCACTCTGGGAATCACAGGATTCCTCCTTCATAGTCTACTAAAGCAAAATCTGTTGAACTCTAAAACCCCAAAGATTCCGACTGTCTGTCCCACTTCCACGAATATGATGGATGCTGGATCAATATGCAGGTCCAGCCAGTAGCAAGACTGAACAAACATTCCAGAGAGGCAAGACACACAATATATACACGACAATAACATGCCCAGACACACAGACTAACACAGAGCCAACTGAAGAACAAGATTCACGTAACCAGGAATATCAATAGCCAAGTCCTCTTCCTCCTCTCCAGCTCATCGGGTTTGAATCTCTCTAGAGAAGACACACATACACTCTAGATTCACATGCACACTGCATTCACGGATCTCAAATATTAGCATAGGCTCTGTCTAATAGCCATACCTGGACAGACCCCTCACCCAGTCACTGGATGAAACCTTGGGTATTTCCAGAGGTAGAGCTCCTCCTACTAGCCAGTCAGTCCAGCTTTGAAGCGAGTGCATTAGCAAATTACCCACACATACAGAGGCACACACGGGACTGGAGTTAGTGAGGGGAACACACACACAGTGTCTCCAGGTGCTGGCACCCAGACCAAGGGGCCCCTGTAACCTGGGATCCCATTCGCCAGCTGCTGGCATACAGTATAATGTCTGTCTGGTCTCTCCAGTTTTGTCTAGAGACATCAAGCGCTCCTGTGATCTGCAGGCAAGTCTCCAGTTGCTGGCCCTTAGACCTCTCATGCACAGAACAGAATGAGATGACACTGAAAGATATTAAACCTTATTCTTAACTAGGACAGGACAGGCAGCTGTCATCAGGTGCACAGTGCTCTGCCAGAAAAGTAACTGACCAGCAGCTTCATTTGTGCAAATGGTGCCTTTTAGCTCCCCTTCTCTCCATTTTCCCATGCATACACCTGGACTCCTCCCCATGTAAATCTGCTAAAACAGATTTCTCCCCATTGGTCCTAGTTTAGCTACATCTGTACCCAAACCTGCTGTTTCTGGTAGCATTAGCTAGGTCACCCCAGCATCACACAACTAGCCAAGTCCTGTTGGCCTTGCAACATTCCACTCCCAAAAAGGTTCCCAATACCTCCCTCCTCCAATTATATGTGAAGTTCAGTCACCTCTCACCCTTAACGTCTCTGAAATCCATCCATTCCTCATGACACTTTTGTCAGCTTTTCTCAGTGCTTTTTTGTTATGTTCAGAAATTTCTCATGTCTGGTTGTTTTTTTGTGGTCTGTTCAGTCAGTTAAGTCTCAGGCCAGGTCCTAGTCATTTGCCCATGTATCTTACAATGCTGCAGTTAGTGGAAAGGACCATAATTTTTGTTAAGAAGACTCAATTGCAATAAATTCCAGCAAATAAGAACACTGGCGAGAACTAAGAGGGGTTCGAAGGAAGAAGTAGAAGAATCATAGAATCGTCTAGGTTGGAAAAGACCTTTAAGATCATCAAGACCAACCATTAACCTAACCCTGCCATCCCACCACTAAACCATCTCCCTAAACACCTCATCTACCCTTCTTTTAAATACCTCCAGGGATGGGGCCTCAACCACCTCCCTCGGCAGCCCATTCCAGAGCCTGACAACCCTTTCTGTGAAGAAATTTTTCCTAATGTCCAACCTAAACCTGCCCAGGCACAACTTCCAGACCATTTCCCCTCACCCTATCATCCGTTACCAGGGATAAGAGGCCGACCCCCACCTCACTACAGCCTCCTTTCAGGTAGCTGTAGAGGGCGATAAGGTCTCCCCTCAGCCTCCTCTTCTCCAGACTAAACAACCCCAGTTCCCTCAGCCGCTCCTCGTAAGTCTTGTGCTTCAGACCCCTCACCAGCTTTGTGGCTCTCCTCTGGACACGTTCCAAGCAGCACAACATCGTTCTTGTAGTGAGGGGCCCAAAACTGAACACAAAAGCTGGGAAGTTTCAGAATGTCCATGGATTTTCTGTGGAAAGCAAGCATGGTAAGGAGTAGGGCTTTTGTTGTCCCTCACTACAGGTCTTGAAACAACCTATAACCCTCCAGGCTTCAAAGCCACAAATCTTTCTTGGTCCAGGAAGATGAAAGACCAGAGACCAAGGTCCCTGGAAGATCCAAGTGTTAGACAGCTACACTGGCTGCTTGCAACTGATGAGAAGTGACAGGTGAAGAACCTTAACTATAATGAAGGTTCCTTAAGTAGCACTTAACTGCACTCTAGTATTGCATCTTGATGCCAGCCCTCACCATTCCCTGCAAAACTTGTCGTGGAGATGGAGGCAGGGGCAAGAAATCCAATCAAATGAGTGGCAAGGGGCTTGCCGCTGACCATGCCATGGCACATGATACCATGGCTGATGCAGCCCAGCTGCAAAGTGGTGGCTAGACAGGTGGGTCAGAGCCAAGGACGGGCTGCTTAGTGATAAGCATCAGCACTCCCATCAGCTGCAGGGTCAGAATCACACAACCTGTGCCTCTAACATCTCAACTGGCAGCATCTAGGGAAAGCCAGTAAAAAAAATAAAAAATCTTTGAAGACACTGCTTAGCTGATTTACCTCTGGAAAGGTTCAGGGACACAAACGTTTAAGCCAAATGATCATAGGTATCTGGTTCCTTGAGTAGCTTTTCCTGTGCTCGGAAAAGGGCCTCACGGCCAAATTTCAGCAGCGAAGCTTGACCTCTCAATTGCATCACATCCAGCAGTGGAACAATTTACAGGGGAGGCAATCCTTAGGTCTCTCCAGGCTAAGGCAGGCATCTGAATCTTAGGTCTAAGAGCGAAATACAATCCTCAAAAATATTGCAGCAATGTGGAGAAGTTTAATGATTTTGAAGATCAAACCCGTGAAATCCAGTGAAGAACAATCCAAAGAAAAACAACCACTCAGAAAAGTCTGCGCATTCTGACTCAAGTAGACCAGAAGTTACTAACAGGACCCAAGAGGTCCAGAGTACTATTTTGCTTTGACAAAAGAAATGTTTGGACACAGAAACACTTCTTTCAAGAGAGGTACAGTCCACATGCACATCATATTCATAGGCTATTAAGACAGACTGCAACACTATTTCAACCACAGTGAGCTTTGGAGGCTCTGGTACCATTTCTTTTCCAGGATGCTTCCATGAAAAGTCGGCCTCCATAAAAATGGAGTTCTTTGACTATGCCTATGCGCATATGATAGAGGAGAGACACATGTACTACTGCAGCTAAGACACTTCCAGCTGTAAACCGTATCCTATACAACGTACAACACCTCTCCTTTTCACCAGTGTCAAGAGGTCTGGTTCACACTTTCAGCTTCTCTCTGTCCTCTTTCCCACATTGCAGTGAGCAGTTCCAAAGCAGTACCCAGTTTCTAAGAGGAGACTCACTTTTCTCCAGTAGTGACTGCAGAACTACTAGACAAAAGACAGCATTTGATGAAAGCCAAAGGGGAACTACAGGTGAGTATTTATATTCCATTCTAGAAATGCTCTCCCCTCACAGTATTATTGTAGACTATAGCAGATGCAAAAATAAACTTATAGTTTGCAGCTGTAAGACTTAATAATGATGGATTTAAAGAAAACTTTCAAACTTCTTAAGCAAAAACTGAGTGGAAGGATGGATACAAGCTGAAGAATCCCATTAAGGGTTTTCTCCTGCCCAACTTTCAAAAACTGCATTTAATAAATAGCTTACAGTTTCTGTGATAAGCTACCTCTATATAAAGAAAGGGGAAAGCTATATTAAAACATGGGATTGAGGAAAAAAAAATGAAACTGCTATCGCATATGAAGATGTTCCAGATCAACTAAAGGTTCTGCTAGCAGAAGGAAACATGGAAGCATTCGCCTGCCTGCTCCAGGCCAGAATCAGAAAATTTAGCATTACCTACCCATTATATTGGTGCAAAATAATCAAAATATGGTCCCCTATGTCAAATGGTAAAAAGCAATTGTTGAAAACTAGCATGTTCAACTGGCACAGCTTTTAATGGAGTACATACCTGTCTAAAGCTATTGCACCAGCTTAAATCTTTAAATAGGTTCA